CTTGTACCTTGCCAGTAACTCCCTGACCGGTGCCTCCCACTCTCCCTTCACTGGTAAAACAAGTGTGCATAATTTAAACACCAAAGTGTGCAAGTTATGATGTTGCACATTACATGGTGTGCAATTTTAAACGTTTGCTAAACGTTTAAATTCTGCACACTTGGACACACACAGTTCTATGCTATCAATAGGAACCATATGGGAACTCTTCGGAAGTGTCGAAAGTTTAAACACCAATTGACGTTTAACCTAGATAGACACCACGACGTGTCGAGAAAATGCACACTTGAACTTCAACACCAATTGACGTGCAACATTAAACACTTGTTTTACCAGTGTTCTGGGGGTACCTGCAACAGACGCGGGGGTGTACATCACTCAGTAATTCATCTGTTTGGCAGGCTGCAGCCCGGCACCCGTGTGCGGCGGCTGCCTACCAGGCCGGGCGCGTACTCGCCAGGGAACCGCTGCGCGGACACTCAGTATACTTACAAGTCGGTGGCCAACTTTTCCATCTTCATCCTGATTGCATGAGCTACATCGAGCTCATGCTTCGGCAGAAGCGGCATCCCCATGTCCAGCATGTACTGCACATCAACCGGGAATGGGGGCAGCTTGAAGGTCGCGCCGATCTTGCCGAGGGAATAGTCGCGCGGCTGGAGCCAGATTCCTGGCACCAAAGGACGGCGCCCATCATGCTGGGCAGGGTTCACGACGCCTTCACCCACCCCTTCAGCCGCCCCTTCACCTACTGGCTGCGCCGGCTGCGCCTGCGCTGCGGCGGCACCTGAAAGAGGCAGCAAAACATAGGGGATTACCTCGGATTCGCTTCGGAACAGCGCTCGCACCCGAACAGGTCGCAAACACTTACTCTTACGCTCTAGGTAAACCACACTCTCGTCTGGTAGCCCATCAACTTCCCTGGACGTCAGGACGCAGCGCATCCTGGCGCCAGTGTTGAGTGTCTTGTCATAAGTGAACCTGAAGTCTCCCGCACTGCAATCCTAAACTGAGGCTGGGAGGTCGTCGGAGTGCTCATACAGGACCTAGGCCCAGATGTCTTCCTTTCTGATCGTCCCGGCAGTTTCCTCGTCATTGGCATAGGTCGTCATGTCCGCTCAATAGGATATTCCCTTGATCATCACATTGAGAGCCTTGGACATTTTGACTGCAGGCAGGACAGGATCCCTGTGAAAAGATAGGCAACCCACAACAATTGCACACACACACACACAACAGAAAAACATGCACAAGCTGTGAATTACCTTCAAAGTCAACACTTGGACACAAAAAACACATGTACTACAATGCACTCTCCCTCCCTCCCTCCCTCCCTCCCCATGCAATCATACACCACCTCTCCACAATCACCTGTACAAGGAACATTTGGGAATATATTACAGCAGTAATAGATGTTGTGAACAGTTTAACCCCCCACCAAACAACTAATGTACATATACACACAGATTACGATACAGCCACGCGCGCGCCCCCTAGAACAATGCGTGCCGTAACTTGATGTACGTCCTGCCATTTAGTACGTGGGCATCAAGAGTCTGCGCCGGGTACAGCAGCCGCGGATTTACAACAGCATAATCCTCCATTTTCGTCTCCTCAGGCTCCACTTCAAAGGCATGAACTTTCTCTGAAAAGTCGACAGACTCCAGCATGTACCCGCACGCAAATGCTTCTTCCCCGCGCAGCAAGATTCGTTCCACTCTTAGGAACACCACCGACTCTTCCATTTCATTTGCGTCCATAACATTGTACGAACCCTGACGCACGACAGTGCCGTGAGCTGTAATCTGGCGTACTTCCACGACTACCTCAGTGCGCCGTAATCCATACTGGGTCATGAGCTCTTCTTGGAAGTGGGGCTCCACCTCAGATACCTCCACTTCGGTGCCTTCGCACTTCGTGATTATCGCTTTACGGAGGCAGTTCTGCCCACTGTACTTCAGACACCGCTTCGCGTGGACTCTATGTGCAACAGTTTTTTTTGTTTGCTTAAAGTTGTTCATCTTCCCCACAATGCGCTTCTGGTACAAGTGAAACGCCTCGAAAACTAGGCACACCCCTATTCTGGGCACGCCGACCCGGGTCACCATACGGGCGTAGTGTAGTATGTAATGAAGTTTCGGTGGGTAGGGGAGGTTTTCGTAGAGGGAAGTCCACAGGTCATGATGTCGTTGGGCTGCACGTTCCAAGTCCACCAACATATCGGGCGAAATCTTCACAGCCATCACAATTTCTACAACACGGACAGCGCATAAATGCATTTCCCAGAATGGGTTCCCCTCCGGAACCACCTGCCCCAGAGCCAGAGTAAAGATGTACAGCAGATTCATCTTCTGTGCCCCGGAGCCCTTAATCGTTCGCTGGTCTCCCTTCTTGGCAGGCAGGTGTACCTCCTTGGGCAGTGGTGGAGGTATGCTTCCCCTCTCCACAGGGCCGTACTCGAAGCCCTCCACAAGGGCGCGTGTGGTACGCACTTCGACTGCCGCATAGCGAGGACCTCGGTGGACCTCAGCCGATCTGTTCTGCCTGACTGCAAGGGTGCGCCCATCGGCCGTCCTCTTGTGTAGGCCCCTGATGCACACTTTCAAGGACAAAGATATGTAACGGGTCAGCAAATCATGGAGCGGATCGAAAGGTGCCTGCTTTGGGAACCGGAAGTGAGGTATGGCCAGCAGAGCAGAGGGACCAGCAATCTGCGGGTACGCATCAGCGGTGTCTGGGAATTCAGCCACTGCGCGGCTCTGCATTTCGTACCCTTCGTGGGTCCACAACGTACACTGG